CACACACCCGCATGCGGGCTTCCCACACACCCGCATGCGGGCTTCCCACACCTACCCAAGATAGGACAGAGCTGGGACCCTGGATGAAGCACAGTTAAGGACACATGCCCAGGAATGCAACCCTGGAATATGCGAAGTTATATCCCACAGGATGAGGCGCAAGGAGTCCAAGACCAGGTCAACTAAGACACATCTGGATCGTGATTCATCAAGAACTTGTATCTCGACTTGCAAAACCTGTTTATCTTTCCTGGATCATAGCGACTTTGTATTTAACCAATAGTTTAAATTGAACCGTTGAGAGATTGTTCTCGACCCATTGTTATGCACAACCCATTAACTCTCAAGCACTTTACTAAAAGGAAACTAAATCGTGATGATTGATTAAAGATTTAGAAGCTTCGTAGGTGGACACGTAAATGCCTGATTGATTCTGTGTTAGGGTTTAACACAGCATGAAAACTTGACGCCAGAGTCGCACATCACCGGAATAACGCCTGGCTAGATTTTCCCGATAAAATCTCATCGAGTAGGCAAAGACGTCTTTGTTACGCGATGAAGGTGCGCTACAGCCAGCGAGGCGAGCACAGAACGAGAACTTGCCACTTGGAGTATAATCACCACCAAGAACCTGAAGACTGTGCCGCAGACGGACTAAGATGGTGAAGCTGAGGATGGTGAGGCTGAGGATGGTGAAGCTGAGGATGGTGAGTGAAGGGCCGGGGTTTAAGGGACTGGTGGAGACGGAGGTCAAAGAGAAGGGGAACCCGCAGCATCTTGGATGCATGAAACTTATTTTCTTTTGTCTTCACTGGTGCACACGAATACGTGTGCTGTCATGTACTTGGTGCAGTCATTAGTTTTCTCTATTATGCGCCCCATACCCATCCCGTGGGCGGTGGGGGAGAAAGGGTTATAGACACACATAATGGGTTCAGGAACTAAACCCCATAGTTCATGCAAATAACAATCTTGTGAAGCTAATTACACAACTTTATTTTGAATACATGCAAATACATACATATATACTCAAAGTCAGATTTGCAATGATTTAAATGTTTCAAGGTAACTTTTTGTTCTCTTGAAACAACGAAGTCGTCTCCCTCCCTTGTGCGAACACGAAGTCAACTGTATTCCTCATAGGCACCTTGAAGTCGAACAACTGGAGAATGTACAACAGCCATGCACTATACACAGTCACTACAGTCAGTGACCTCGCCACTAGCAGCAGAACAAACTTTCCCAACAGTCCAGCACCTAGGCTAGACTGTTCACTAGAACATCTGATCACACGAACAAATTATACTTGGGTGAAAAAAAAGGACGCGACGATTTACGAACGCAAGAATGCGTGATATGTTGTTGACAGGGTTGTATTGGGCAGCAGCAGCTGTAAGAACAACAGCCTGGCTTCCTGGGCAGCTGGAAGGCTGTTGTTTTAGATTCAGCTACTCTGAACAAAATGTCCATGTAGCACGGGCTATGGTGAGCCCGTAAACTGGTCTCACCATAGCTCGTGTAGGCACGTGGGACCTCCTCACTCTGGTCATTGATATACTTCCACACGAGGCCATAATAAAATACCTCCTAAAACGGCTAAATATTTACAGTTTAGTATTTTAATATTCCACCACACACGTGAACAGTAGTGGAAATGTTGCGATATTTGAAATATGCATACAGATATAATTCTAAGCGAGCCCAGGAGGCATGGCAGGAAGTGCAACATAGCCTGATTGAAAAGCAGAGGCGCAATAGATGCGCCGAGAGAGAACTATCAACATTGTGGTCTAAGACATTGTTTGAGTTAGGAAAACACTATTTGTCAAATATTGATACTCTTCTTAAAAGATTTCCCCATTTTGCACCCGCAAGATAACGTAAGCTTTTAAGGGTTGATAGATGTTAATCTTCTTGCTTGAGGAGCTGTTCACTTGAGACAGTTAAGCAAGTCCCAGCTGTGTCTGGGTACAAGTGACAGGATGAACAACCCAGCGGGTTTTCTTCCTATTGGGGAGTGTTGTACATGCTGCTATGGCGGTGTGTCCACTCAAGATGAGTGACGCTGCCGAATAAACTCGCCCCTCTGGGCAAAATTTAAATTTAGACTGTTGAGCACTCTCCCTATACACACAAGGGGCATAACTAGCTGACCTCTCAGTGTTCAAGAGAGAACTTAATAAACACCTCCAAAGGATATCTGATTAACCAGACTGTGATTCATACGCGAGGCCGAGAACAAATGAGTTGCCTAGTTGACCAGACCACCAACAAGGTGGTCTGGTCGGAGACAGAGCCGCGGGGACGCTGATCCTCGGAAGCAACGCATGATAAAACGTGGTAATTAACGATAACATTTATCTAAAAACGTTCAGAAGGCGAGGCTAGGCAGTTGTACTCGTCTAGTTGTGCTTGCGGGAGTCGAGCTTCGGCTCTCTGGTCCCGCCTCTCAACTGTCAATCGACCGATGTACAGATTCCTGTGTACACCTCTCTGTGTACACAGGAACAGTACACAAATAATGTCTGACGACCTAACGTTTAAGGAGCATAAACAAGCAAATATTGCGTCAGCCAGAAAAATGATAGAATGGATTACGAGAACTTTCAAGTCCAGGGATCCCATCACAATGGTTGTACTCTTCAAGTCACTTGTGTTGTCCCGTCTTGAGTACTGCTCAGTACTCACTTCCCCCCTTCAGAGCAGGAGAGATTGCTGAAATAGGGGGAATACAGAGAACATATACGGCACGCATAGACGATATGAAACACCTAAATTATTGGGATCGTCTCAAAGCTCTCCAAATGTACTCTCTAGAGAGGAGACGAGAGAGATATAAAATAATATACACGTGGGAAAATACTGGAGGGACAGGTCCCAAATCTACACAGTAAAATAACAACGTACTGGAGTGAACGATATGGAAGAAAATGTAAGATTGAACCAGTGAAGAGCAGAGGTGCCATAGGCACAATCAGAGAACACTGTATAAACATCAGAGGTCCGCGGTTGTTCAACGTCCTCCCAGCGACTATTAGAAATATTGCCGGAACAACCGTGGACATCTTCAAGAAAAAACTGGACTGTTTTCTAAGAGAAGTTCCGGATCAGCCGGGCTGTGGTGGGTATGTGGGCCTGCGGGCCGGGCTTGGGGAGTAGAAGAACTCCCAGAACCCCATCAAGCAGGTATATGTGGGCCTGCGGGCCGCTCCAAACAACAGCCTGGTGGACCAAACTCTCACAAGTCAAGCCTGGCCTCGGGCCGGGCTCGGGGAGTAGAAGAACTTCCAGAACCCCATCAACCAGGTATATGTGAGCCTGCGGGCCGCTCCAAGCAACAGCCTGGTGGACCAAACTCTCACAAGTCAAGCCTGGCCTCGGGCCGGGCTCGGGGAGTAGAAGAACTTCCAGAACCCCATCAACCAGGTATATGTGGGCCTGCGGGCCGCTCCAAGCAACAGCCTGGTGGACCAAACTCTCACAAGTCAAGCCTGGCCTCGGGCCGGGCTTGGGGAGTAGAAGAACTCCCAGAACCCCATCAACCAGGTATATGTGGGCCTGCGGGCCGCTCCAAGCAACAGCCTGGTGGACCAAACTCTCACAAGTCAAGCCTGGCCTCGGGCCGGGCTTGGGGAGTAGAAGAACTCCCAGAACCCCATCAACCAGGTATATGTGGGCCTGCGGGCCGCTCCAAGCAATAGCCTGGTGGACCAAACTCTCACAAGTCAAGCCTGGCCTCGGGCCGGGCTTGGGGAGTAGAAGAACTTCCAGAACCCCATCAACCAGGTATATGTGGGCCTGCGGGCCGCTCCAAGCAACAGCCTGGTGGACCAAACTCTCACAAGTCAAGCCTGGCCTCGGGCCGGGCTTGGGGAGTAGAAGAACTCCCAGAACCCCATCAACCAGGTATCAAGCAAGTACACGCCCGAACACACACAAATATAAACACGTGTAGGGATGCAAACGTGTTTATCTGATTTAGTCGCATTATAAAGTGTGTGGCGCTCGACCGCTCGTAGGGCTCTCTCTTCTCCCTCCACCTCGTGCTCCTCAGAGGGGCTTTCGCGCGCTCTCATACACTATGAAAGTGGGTGGAACCCGCCCGTCTGAAGCGACTCACCCGCGCCAGCTGGCCGGACCTACACTACCGGTTAAGCCAACACCACACACACGCTATACCAACACACCAGGTGTGACGCAGGTGCATGACGGCGTCTCTCAGTCGAGTTAAAGCCCAACACTGGAAGGGTGACCGCTCGTAGAGCCTCGCCCACCACTCTAGCGGGACCTGGATAATTCAGGACAGCCGCCCTGTCCCCCCCCCGATAACGGTATACCAGAAACAAACACAGCGGAAAGAAAACTGTTCCGCCTATCACCCAGCTTCCAACACAATAGTCTCTGTTCGCCTGTGTGTCTGCTAGCGGACTCCCAGAATACTGCTCGTGTACGGCTTCCCACAACCATATTTTGCACTATTTGATCGTTAATATACCTCTTCTACCCATTGACATCTTTCCTTTCCACTGACACTACCTCCACCCACTCGCCACGGTAGACTCCACAGGCCCAACATACGTGTAAGCCACTAACCTTTCAGTGCAGAGAAAGTTTCTGCCTGGCCAGTGACGTCACACTAGTTTTCACTCTCGGGGGGAAGGAGGAGGGGAGGGGAGGGGGTCTGTCGTCGTCAACTGTGGGTCGAGGCCGCCCACGAGTGCAGGCCCTACCTAGGTCGAGGCCGCCCATATATCTTAAATCTAGTGGACTGATTTAAGTAACATTAAATAATTACAGCAACAGCTATAGGAACTTGTCTAGTAGGCCTATGTAAACATCTGAAATAGGTCAAACTTTAGCTGGCAGATATTTGTGAACATTTTTATTCATTATGCGGAGTGCACAGCATTGCTATTTCAACACAACAAATTGCAGAATTATGCTGCTCATTTACGACCATGCACCCTAACTGTCTTGAAACAGTTGCTAACAATGGTCACTGCTTACCCAACTCCCACACCCAAGGCTGCCTCGAATTAGTATCTATAAAACAAGTCGCAGCTTGCATTGTCTCCAAGATGATTCGCCAAAGGGGTTTAAACCCTACTCTAGACAATTTGTCGAAACGCCTTTCTGTATATGAGGATTTGACCGTAATCCATTATTTATAACCATATTTATACTTATGAGACTAGTTTTCAGCGATTTCATAAATATTTTTATTTTTGCAAAGTCACTAATCATCCCCAGTGCTCCTGACCTATAATAATATAGGTCAGAATAGGAATAATACTAACAGCAAAGCCAATTTAACAATCTACGTCATTAACGTTTTTCAACGTTGAATTCACGTACATAACGATGATTCAAGGTCCAGAGCCACTCTTGGATAGTGTGCCCACTCAAGTGTGGCTGCTAGACCTAAATGGGTGCAATAACGGTCCCCCGCCTCCTGTTGTGATGTGATCTACGAAGGTCTCTCAGGACACGGCACGTCATATGGTTAGATAAAACAATCACAAACCACGTGGCCCCACGTGGTTTGTGACTGTTGACCCCACAGCCCCTTCACGTGGGGCTGTGTGGTCCTCGGGTTGTGTATACAGAGACATATAGCTACATGGGTCTCTGTATGGCAAGGTAACCAGGATCAACAACCCGTTGGACGTTCTTCTCACTGGATCTTAGCCTTTTTATGCACCCTATATCCTTCCCGTGGACGGTGGTGGCAAGGGTTATCGAGGCGCATAATGGGCTCGGAAAATGACCTCATCAGTGGCTGGTGTCACCACTACGACGGCAATGACACAGGATGCGACGTGGTCTGGTAAAACTCCAACATCGATCTTAAAAACTAAACACACTAACAAGGCGTAAGTACTCACTGAGGTGTGCCGCCGGAGGCTGGGTGTGGAGCAAGAGAGTGGTGCAAGTGGCGTTTCTGATGGCACACGCGAAATCAAGCAGTAACTACCAGTGTAACAAAGGCTGCGAGCTTTTCCCCCCACACACACAACTGGCAGTCGTTTCTCGTCGTCAGTAGTGGAGCTCGCGGCACTAATAGCAAACAGGTGTAGTGTCACTCCAACAACACTATAATCAAACTTCTTGTTTATATACAAATCTCGAGTGAAAGCTATACCGTTAGTCTTATGCAATATTCCTCTTCAGTCGTCTTTTTCTGGCGTGTGTAAATACCGAGGAATGCACTTACCGTCTCACAAGATATGTATTGACAACAACAATGGGGTCGTTGACATGTTGCATGCCCTTGGTGAGGGAACTTACGAGGTTGTGAGAAGCCACGTGGCTGTGTTTACAATGACAAGCAACAGACAAGGCGGATGCCACTCTACGAGGTCATGACCGGATAACTGACCTTCACACTCTTGGACTCTTTACACGGAGTCAACAAGTCATTCATGACATAACCATCTTATATATAACTATTGACGTCTCTTTGTCAAGCGTTTACACAAAGCGTTGACTGGTTTCAAAGCTCAGAATGATATATATTCTTGAATGAGAACGGTTGTGCACGGCCCAGGAAACGAGGCTGTTGTTCGTCGGGCCCTCAGCACCACGGCAGCTATACTGACTGTCGACTGCCTGGGAGTCTCCCTTCACCACCACCCCCCGCCCCACCCTCAACCCCTTTCCCCCCTGTCACGCCCCCTCACAAACCGACTCAACCATGCCAAGAACTACCACTCTCCCCTACCTCTCACTCCACCACTCTTCTCTATCTCTCACTCCACCACTCGCCTCTACCAATCACTACACCACGCTCCCCCTATCTCTCACTGCATCACCCCCTCCCTCACCCCCAACGCCTCCCACTTGACCCTCCCCCATCACCCGACTGGAGGCGTACAGGACCTCTGGGACATATTGACAGGCTATAGTGCTCCTTGACCGTCCAGCTGTACAAAATAAAATTATTTACCACCGTCTCCTCCAGGCCGGCAGACGAACCTCTTAGATCTTCTTCCATTCCAAGTTTGCTATTATTCAATCTCAATGTCATCTATTTTCTATTTGAGTGAGCTCCAATATGCAATATTGCATTGTTATATATATATAACAGTTGCAGTGCAATGGCTCTTTTACAGTGCTGTATTTACAAAGATATATTAGGTGTACATATAATTAACTTTATCGGGGGACAGGCAGCCACTGTATATATACACGTTTGGTTTGTCAGTAATTCAACCCTCCCCCAGGGTCGAATTACTGAAACTCCCAAGGATGCAACCCCACAACAAACTTCTGGGTACCTATATACTGCTAGGTAAGCAGATGCATTAGGTGATAGGCAACACGCCCAACCATATCTGTCCGCACCTGGGATTCGACCTCTGAATTCCCGTTTGCGAGTCGTGAATTGTTAATGTAATAATCTCTATTGAGATTTGATAGACCTTCTGCAATAATTTTTTACGCTGCCGCTCACAGGATGAGTATGGGGTGCACAATAAACTAGCCGCCGCCAGCGGCAACAATAAAATAAAATAAAATGAGTCGAGACCTTGCAATACTCCCTGGACAACCTGCAGCCAAAGGTCAGCCAAAGGTCAGCCAAAGGTCAGCTAGACCTCTTCACAAAGCTTGCGATCTGTGAAGGGCTTTTGTGCAGTCCGTAGAAGTCTTTTGCGCTACAAAAATAAACTCACAGGATGAGTATGGTGTGCACAATAAACTAGGCTCCTCTGATGGGAACACTCTGGTCAAGTCAGGAAAGGTCACATCAGGTCAGGTCAAGCGGCCATCACCACATTTAGATAAGTCAAAAGTAAGTGAATTTATCAGATTTATTACTAGGAGGGATACCCTGCTGTGCTCGGGTCGACCTGGGTACCAGAGATATGCGTGTGTTTTTCTGTCTGCCACTCCCTCCCTCTCTTGTTGAGTCAACCTATGAAGCACTACATGTGGGAGTCAAACAATGAAGCACTACACGTGAATCAACCTATGCAGCACCGGAAAGCCACTACAAGTCCACTACGGGCTCACCATAGCCCGTGCTGCTTGGGACTTTTGTTCAGAGTAGCTGAATCTAAAATAACAAGAAGCCACTACCAGAATTGTTAGCCATCTGGCGTAGCACAGAGAACACAGAAGCCAAGACACAGAGCATGACAGCGAGGTGTGAGGAGGAAGAGAAGCGCCACGCGGGCGGAGTCGCCGAGGAAGTAATCACATCTGCAGGAGAGATGATAAAACACGTTTGCGAACTTTCACCAGAAAGGCAAGGGCCGTGAGGCGGAGTGTGTGGGGAGGTGTGTGTGAGGGGGTGTACAAAGAGCCTTCAGCACGTTAGTGTCCAGCTTCATCACCGGTCCCTTTAAGAGCCACGAGCCATTAACACCTCACAGTGAGGGTCACCGACCATAACCGGAGTGCTAATGAGGCAGGTAAATATGCCGGATGTAGCAGCTGCCTGTTAGGCCAAACGTAACAGGCAAAAACAGCTTCTGACACATCTTGAAGTGTGTCCCACTTCTCGATGTATACCAAGAGAGTACTTTAGTAATCAACACTGTTCAGGACTCGGGTAGACTTATCAGTGTGTCAAACCCAAGTGGAAGTCTTAAACACCTCCAGCAGTTGATCTTGTTGACTGAGAAGCGACGATGATCCAGGAAGCGGATGCAATAGGCCCAAAGTCCAATACCAAAAAACTTAAACAAAAAAATACGCTGTCAATCATATATTGAGTCGCACTAATGAACACAGGACCACGAGAGGATATGATGACCAAACCACTCATTAGAAGATGGAGAAACGATGTTTCGGTCCGTCCTGGACCATTGTGTGTGTATGACCAAACTACTTGAACCAAATCCGACCGAAACGTCGTAGTTTCTCCATTTTTTGAAGTGTTGTTTGATCATCATATCTTCAGATACGTTATTGTGACTCATCGACAACACAAAAGGATATTAAATAGGACACACAATGCTATAAAAAAAACTTATCAACTTAGGTCGCCACCTCAATTCTTTAGCTATGAAAGAGAATGTCTACCTTGGGTCTACCTTCACCCAACTTTTCAACATGACACATGGGTGGTATGCGACTGTCGCAGGCTGGTCGGAAGTCGGTCAAACGGCCTCCACCCCTTGAAGAACTATCGGCACCTACAGTGACGAAGTCTGAAATAGCAGTTTTCATATTTTCGTAATATTACTTTTCTGAGAGAGCGAGAGCGAGACCGGCCCAGGCCCCACCTGGTACAATGGTACGGAATAGAGAATAATGGAAGTTAAATTATGTTAAGTACTGTTTAGCATGAAGCATGTATATGATTTACTGATTCGATAGTTTTAATTTAGCTTGTTTTTTTTTAAATTTCTGCTTAAGCATTGTCGGTCACGGGAAGATAATATAAGCTGAAACAACAAGTACATTTTAATCTTAAAAATAATTCAGAACTACTGATAAATCAGCAATTATATTTAAAATTCTGAACGTTATCAAAGACTAAAATAAACTCTTAGTGTACATGTACAGAGGAACGGGGAGCATCTCTGTATTCCTTTTCAGAGTATATGAGATGTTAATGTCCTGTTTAATCAGATTTTACTTCAAGAGTAATGGTCATATTTTTAACATCAATAAGTTGAGTACAAAATAAAATTAAGGATATTATTAAAAACAAAAGTACAGAACTCTCGAGAAATAATAGTTAAATATTCTTGCGATTTGTATGTTAAAAACATCGTTTTAACTTTGCATAGTTTCTCCCAAATAAATTTTTAGCATTTATTTCACTGTGATATTATTCGACATTTTCCTCCAGACAAAACAACTCATGCCTTTATTGACTAGAAATGCGCTAAGGGTAGACAAAAAATTCATGGGTAGAAACATATATTAAAAGAAAAATACAGGTCATTTTGATTAAATACTGAACTGACAGGATGGCCTGGGTGATTATGTATACTAAGCCACGGCAATGATGCACAGGGTGGCTATGTATACTGAACCACAACTGACGATCCACTGGGTGATTATGCATACTGAACCCCATTGAGGATTGACTGGGTGACTATGGATACTGAACCATCCATGACTGCAGGGTAGTGTCTTGTCTAGATGCTTAGTCTGAGGAGTTCTCTTCGGAGTAAGTTATTAAAATGACTGTGTAAAGGTAGAGAGTTACAGTTATTAATAAGTTCCTTTTTATTTATCTTACAGCAAATATTCTTGAATTCATTAATCTATTACAGAAAACGTTTAGGCTTGCTATAAGTTTAGATTAACTTAAAATTCATGCACAAATTATCACTCAATAGAAGACAATCATTTTATTGTTCAATAAAGAATTATGCACCATAAAGCAAATAATAGCTTTTAACCCCAAGAGGTATTATAAGTGCATTAGATTTTGAAGTTATAAAGTTAAAACTTCAGAAAGTTTTTAAGTTTCTATAATTATATTATAGGAGAAAGTCAAGTAGGCAGATAACTATAAAAAAGTCTAAAAAATATACTACCTGTTTTATGGCAAATAAATATACAGTATACTGTTTTATGGCAAATAGTTCATTAGGGGGGAAGGAAATATTTTATATAACAAAACCGAGCGACAAATGGATAATTTTCTTAACAGAGTTTTTTAACTGTCATGAAAATAATTATACAACAATAGATAACATAATGTACAGTCAATCCACACTGTAATTAGTTGTTAAACTTTGAAGTCATATGTTACAGGATATCTAGAGCAGTCAACATTAATTAAAGTTTTATTAGATTGAAAATGTTCAAGTTCCTTTGCACATTTAACTGAAAAATTAACTTAGAACTGAAAAATGCATTAAGTTTCTTACGGCAATATTCTTTACAACTTGTAGGCACATACAAATGATAAGATTCCATTTCAGTTCAATAATAAACCTAAAAATATGCTTTAATCGACGGTAAAAATGCATTTAGCTTGTAGACACTTTTGTGTCATTCTCTGAATAATAAACGTCCATAATGTACACAACTTAGTCGCATGTTGGCCATGGAATAGTACTCGCACCTTGTTCATGTACAAGGAAAACTAGGCTCAAAAATTTAGACTGATAATTATGTAGTACAGTAAATACTAATTTCATGTTTAAGTTTACTGGAAATAGTAATATAAATCTCAAAAGGATAGTGCAGCTTAGGCTGTTTACCCTTCTAAATTGTAATATAAATATATTGAATCGTGTTGTGTAGTAATTCTATATTAAAAAATTTAGTTCAATAAAACAAATCTGCGAATGATTGATTCCAGTGATATTAAAAACAAGTTATACTATTCCATGTTCACCGGCCCACCACGGTGAGGTCTGCGACTACGGGCCGGACCAGGGGGTGTCGTCCAAAGCAAATCCTACATGAAAAAATCCATTGTGGCGGAATTTTTCAATAAGAATTTAAATCCTTTGTTGCGTGGAACCCTAAACCACGAACCTGACGATACTTACACATTTCTCATTAAGAGAAATACATTAGTATTGTCAGAGGTACTTTGTGATTACTCGTGATAGCTAGGTTACCACGAGAAATCGCTCGCCAACAGCAAGCTGCTGGCGATATACCAATGACACCCACAAGGAGTGCCAAGGTGA